AGATCGAACTCCACGCTTAACAAATTTTTGGATTAAATTTTGACGATCAACTTTATCAAAGGCTTTACTGAAGTCTGTAGCATTTACAATAGCAGAGGTAGGAGGTTTATCTGCTCCATTATAGACTTCATTAAGCAAACGAACCAAATAATGAGATGTAGATGATCCTTTTAATGACCCAAATTGATTAGGATCCATATCATTACACGTCGCTGTTAAGCCAAGTAGTGACAAAATTTTTGCAAAAATGCACGTGAGATGAGAGAGATTGGTAATACTTTGTCCATGGTTGGAGGGTGTGTCTTGGGAACATGTACCGCATGTGCGGTTTTCCAGATAGCCGAAACAATGCCTTATAGAAGTGAGCAGTTGTCAACGGAAAACAGAGTTCATATGCAAACTTTTTTATTAGTCTTGAGGGACATGATCAGGCCTCCACTCTTGTAAGCCTTAACTCCCTTTAGTTTTTTTATATACTGCCTGTGCGGAACTGAGGGTAGCGGTAATTCTGCAGGCAGATTCGCAGGTAGGTTATTGTAGTCTAGACATGGAATGTCACTGGCCACTGATATAAAATCTATGGTTGATCTCGTTAGCAATTTCAGCAGGTGATGACCCGGGAAGACTTATGTGAGAATAGAACTTAATACCCAAGAGTTTCTTTATGTGTTGATGCCAGCTCCTGTGGTTATTATTTTTCCACCTACACACATAAAGATTGCAGAAATTGTTTTTTTATCTTGTTTCTTGATGGGTCAACACTGAAAAAAACCAAAATAATAAAAACAAAGTCTTAATTTTAAGTTTATACACTCACAGGAAAAATACACTGAAATTCATTCATATATTGGCAACGTTTAATTAAAAACCGACATGAGGCGTACGGACTTCTAACTGTGAAAAAATGAGCGCAGCTTTAACTGAACAGCCAAACTATACGTTACTGCCATTTTACCACAGACACCTGTAAATCAGATTACGTCAGTTCACAACTTGGCAAAAGATTTACATTTAACAACTACTTTCTGGAATGAAAAAATAAGTCAGATTTAACTAAGAACAAATAATTTTAAAATTAAGAAACAGTTTCCTTCATTGCGTTGATTTTGAATTTCCTAGTTTGTTACTTCAAAAGAAATGTCAGCTCTCTGCTTGTCACTTTAGTTTTATCTCCGCCCTGAAGAAGAATTCTGTCACTCATATCACACCATCTGCCACACTATTTGGGTAGTGTCTTTGCAGATCTGACGACGACAAATCATGCCTTTCTTGGAGATATGTCCGGTGAAATCTGGGGAAAATAAACAACGAATCAATTTTTTATTTTTAAACCACTTTTGCCAGTAATTAATATTTCAGACGGTCCCAACTTCCATACAGTGGAGTCTCACATACAAAGCCTGATAGACTGTCATAAATTCTTTACTATATAAGCCTAGCCTGAAGTCAAGCATTATAAAGTAGAAGACACAAAACTTTGATCTCAAGCAATTCACTGCTTCGCACACCTCAACCATTCTTGTTTCCACATGTGTCCATTTCAGGTGCAGAATTCAGTTCTTCGAATCCTGACGACTGAAGTACAATGACCTCAACCAGCTGTTTAAATCTCCGTTTGAAAGTGCGTGCAACAAAATTCGTAATGCTTATTATTTACCCACCTGAAAACATGCATACGTTTTGGATGCGATGTCCTATCGAGTCTTTACAATGGAGATCAATACACAGGAATCACCGAACCGACTATAGTTAATCTGTTAAGCTGCCAGATCGAGGCTCTGCATATATCGGCAGCGTACAAAAACCGCGCCCACTGCACATAGAGTTACATGGAACTATGAGACTGGAAGTAAACGCGCGCAACTTGTTCGTTCATCCACGTCAACACTTGCGCCAAGCGTTGCGTATCGTTGACGGCCGAACACAACACAAGCGTGTGTTGTGTTAATGGAGTCGACTTTGTGTCCGTGAAAGTGAAACGCAAGAAAGCATCGCGTACGCAACGCACAAAAAAATACAAAGGGAAAGGTGCCTTGATTCAGATGTTTACACGTGACAAAATATGACAGGCAGAGGCATTTTACGAAGCGCACGTGCATCTCTGTGCAGGCACGTGCATGTTCGGCTCTGAGATATTTCTGTTTGCAATATCATGTACGCAAGAATGTTGAGAGACTTCGAAGGTGCGCACGTTTGCACACGTGCGCACGTTGTGTTCATAAGACACACAATAATGGATCAAAATTAACGTAGTCTTGTCTCAGGAAAAGCCGTCGACTAGACTTGAAATCAGGTCGGAGATTGACCAAGTTTAGTCCACCTGCACCCCCCCAAATAAAGTGTAGAGTGAAGTTTGGGTATAATAACATGCGGGAACATTTAGTGCAGCCTCGGTCCGAACATGTCGGTTCATAGAATGTTGAACGACGAGCACAATATTATAACGTAATTCTCCTGCCTCCTTTTAAAAGCAGAATTATAAAGAAATCGTGTTTAATTTACCCTTTCATTAGATCTGAAAATAATTTGAGAATCCTAAAAATACGAAATTCCCGTTAAATTCTTAGGAGAAAGGAGAATTGATTCAGACAGGAGATTTAAGGAGCGATCATATTTAATGTACCCCTTTGGTTGATGAAACTTCCACCTGAGACTAAACATACGACTAAAATTTTGTTTTAAATCATTGAAATAATATAAAAATTCGCACTAAATTCACCTTTGCAATGAAGTTGTAAACCCCGAAGTAAAATTTCTGCTCAACGTAATCCACATCAAAATTTGACCAAATAAAAAACAAACCTTTAAAACAATCCTAGCAGTGACTAATAGCCAGTTGTATCCACAGTCGGTGCTCTTTGAGCTCTCGGTCTCAGATACAAAACCCAGAAAAGTAGAAAATGCCTAACTTTTTATAATCGGCTGCCAATCGCTGCCTATTTATAAGATTGAGAATTTCTCAGATATGTCTATAGTGATTTTTTCCCTTATCATAATCGGTAATCTGTATTGAAAAAAGCCCATCGGAGTAATTTATGGAGATTGTATTAAATGAATCCCTTCAATGGTTAAGATATTTTTTGATAATAAAAATTCTACGACTTTTTCTATTACATTTTCGTTGAAACATTATTTCAAAGTAAGTAAATTTAATAAAAATGTTTCTAAATTCTGCCCCTTTGTTGAACAATGAGAGTTGATATAAACATTAATGAAACGGTTCTTTGCCAGAGAAATGATAAAAACATCGTATTACATTCAATACCCGTGGATTTTGAGAATCTAAGAATAAATTTAGCACTTTCAAGTTATTTGCATCAAGTTCGTAGTACCAAAAGAAAAATGTGGTGATCGAGGAAAATTTGTATTTTTTTTGAGACTTCCTGATGACATCATCGAATATGACGATTTTTATTACACACACTGTATGAAAATGTGGTGGATAGGTGCAGCTCATAGCCGGGATGAAATACATCTACATGAATTTCAAATGAGGGGATGATGTCGTAATCAGGTGTCTCATTGTTAGACTTTGGATTTTCATCAGATTTCTGAAAACGGGCAAATTTGGACCTTGAATAAACTTCAATGGGCTCCCAGTTAACATCTCTGCAATAACATCATGATGATGCCATGAAGTTACACTATGTAGATTGGCGAAAGTAACTGAAACAAGGCGGACACGAATGTTCAAATTCGGGAACCTGCTTTTACTTTCTGATTTCTGAAATAAAGATAATTAACAACTTCAATGGTATGGTCCAACGAAATAAATGACTGACCGATCACTCATGCATTTGTGACTTGACATACGCGAGTTTTTAGTTAGAATCTGATGGACTTGTATTTGTTGGTCATTTCGATTTTCCAGGGAAGTAACGGCTAAAGCACAGCAGATATATGGAAAACTGGATGCCGGGAGTAACATAGGAATAAGGAGGCCAAAACCAAACAGTTTAACAATTTCCATTTTGAAATAACGGAGTCAGGTAAAGATGCCCCTATACTGTCAACCAAGTTCAATCTCGTTTTTAACGAGCTTTGAAAGGATGTCTTCCTCTCAGAAATCACATGCAACGGAAATCGACTGTAAACGAAGAGAACGGCGCTCTGGGGCTCCACACGGCGTTTCACTTGGAGAGAACTACTCTAGTCCCTAAGCAGGGAATGTCAACGTGTGTATAAGACGTTGAAACTGTCAAACAGGAGGTTGCTTATTTGGAAAATCTGGAAACCAGACGCCACAGAAATTCGACCCACAAAATGGTTCAATTACTTGGCTTAAAATGTGAGGTTATGGGATTGGTATTAAAAAAAACGGCAAGACGGCACAAAAGAGTTATAAGGGTAATAAATGCCTATGGAAAAACCTCATGTTGAAAATGTTAATATAACTTTTTCAGGCCAATTTAGTGCCAGTCTAAAAAAACATTGAAACAAGATCATCGTAAGCCTATAGTATAAAATTCTCCTTAGACTTTAAAAGATCCCAATCAGCTTAACAAAAACTTGAATTTCAATGATAACATTTTTTAGTCCAAACGCTGGAGTAAAAAAAGTAAACAATGTTGGAGCGATATGACAAAAGATGAAATGAAAAAATAACACATGCAAATCATTGGTGCCCCTAAAATTTAGTGACCAAAATTAAGATCAATTAAAACACTGCGCGAACTTTGAGCGATAAGTGAAGTTGTTGCGAAATGGTAAAAAGACTATCATTGTTATGCGAGTAAAAACAACTCATTGGGGTGTAGACCCTCGAGTAAAATATACAAAGGGCTGTTATGAAATTCTGTCTGTACCTTTTGAGTTTTAAGAGCGATGGCTTCATTTCGACACTGGTTTCTTGTGCTTGAATGCATCTTCTCTCCAAGCGTAATTTGCTACAGAATGTACCTAAACATTTTACGTTTTAGGTAGTATCCTTCGTCCAACCCCTTAAAACTGACTGGGTCCTGCAAGTACACAATCTCCAAGGTGGCACTGAATTCACTTACCTGCACAAGGTGCCAGAAGCTAGTTGTTAGGGATACTATCTGGGTAATTTCGTTGCGCAAGGGGCCAATGATCATCACGGGTTCGCTAGACCGATTCGAGACGTTCATCAACAATTCCTGCAGCAGCTCGTTTACCGTCCAGCCCTCGTTATTCTGCTTGGAATTATTGATACATGGAAATACATTAGTCAGACCTTTTCTTTACGGTGATTATTGCCTTTTTGCGCCACTGATAAAATATACATAATTATATAACACGTAAAAAATTTAAAAGTAGCAATGCCAGAAGCACATCTGGGTCTGCGAATTAACAATTTATGAACTATTCAGAAAACACAAGGTGTTGATTCAAACAACCTGCCTTAAGAAAAATATTTTGGAAAATCCTTTTGAAGCAGAGGTACTTTAAAAGCTAAATAGCGCCCTCTCTGAAAGGGGTGTCCTACCTGGAGCTTTTTTCCCAGGGAATTCGATGTTACGTACGTGACAATGAGCCAGTTCAGTATTCCAACAGCGCGTGCCAAAAATGAAGTACGTCCAAGGTCATACAGGAACAGTAACACATGCTTGGGAGGTCTGCCACATCAGAGCGGCATATGCCGACCCGCACGGGCATTGCTTGTCCTTTTTAAAATATCACACTGGCTGATTGACCCTTTGGAGAAAAACAGTTAAATTTCTGGAGATTTTCACACGTCGTCTCCGTTACGAAAGCGTTAAAGCCAGATTGTGTGCATGCAGTTTGAGGAAAGCATGAACTTTCTTTTCTGATGTTATACCTTGGACGACCAACATCAAGTTTGATTAAGTTCTTCCCTAACATAACGTTAAAAGGGAACGAAATGAAACCCTGCTTCCTGCCTAGAAACTGCACCATAGTAAAATACACCCATTTCAGACAGGCGTTCTATAGTCAGGCGGAACAAAATAGAATTAAGAGCAAATTGGGTCGACCCAATTAAATTTTGGTTTCAGACAGACGAACTTAATACGCTGGAGAAGATTACACGCAAACGCACACACGATGTTAGCAATAAGTAGGCATTGCAAAACACTGTATTTTTTTCGGATTAACTGTGCCTTGTTCTTGAACCAAATGGTAATTTATGCTCCGTTTATTTCGGCGACTAGCTTGAAATTTTTGAATGAATATGAAGTCACGGATGAGCAGAGTAAACAAATACGATCCTGGGCAGAGATGTTTGGTCACATATGGGGGATGCTTCCTCAGCACGGCCTCCATCCCAGGTAAAATCGTCACGTCGGCTTGTGTGGAGTCGGTAGTATAGGCTAAGGGTGGGCATAGTCAGTGACTTAAAAAGTGGGGGTGATTATATTGGTAATCAACCAAGGTCAAAAGGGGGGTAAATCGGGATTTCGGCTCATAATTATATATATATATCACTCAGTTCAACCGCTTTGGCATTTATGGAGCTTTATTTTGTTTTCGTTGAGCTGTGTTCATGCACAGTAACTTACATCATTTACATGTAGGCAGATAGATTACGCATGTCATATCTGGCCATGATGATCCTGTACTTCTCAACTAAACGCATGTTTAAGACCTACCAAGCTCATATTCATTCCCTTATTAATCCGTAATCAACAAAACGTATAGGCCTACCTGAATAATCTATACGGATGCAGAATGAATCCGTAATCATGGATAATAAATTTATGTAACTTAACCGAGATTAATTGTTTTTGTTTTTACAGTTAATAACCAAGGGAATAAATATGTGCTTGACTAATGCCTAAGTCGCAGCCGAGGACATTATCTCAAACATTCGTTCAAGACCGACCAGGCACATATGTACTCCCATTAGTAAATACTCTTTCAGTCTGAAAATCAACAGAAGTCAATATATAATATAAGTTCCTAAGGATTTTGCGCAAGAATTATACTTTCATTTTCCTGATCACCCCGTCTAAGTTGTGGTATATTCCTTGTGAAGGTAGTCCAGAAGAATCTCCTTATATGGACTTGGCGCGCGCGTGGCGAGTTCTGTGTGCCACAGCGCACACAGGCCAGTGGCCCCCATGGGGGGGCACGTGACCCCTCACAAATTCCCTGTGCCCCCAGGTCCACCCCCCCAAAAAAACGGATGAATGGATACTGAACAAGGGTAACATAAACGTGCCCCCAAAAACAAACAACTGAAAGTTGGTGCCCCCCATAAGATGCTGTGCCCCCTTTGTGCCCCCCCCCAGAAATATCCTAGCTACGCCACTGACATAGACCCTTGACCGATAGGTAGGGCTTAACCTGTCTCGTATCCATGTGCAAGCACGTTTTTACGCATTAGGTATTATCAATTCGCAGCGGGCATTATATATTTTAACACACAGTCGCGTTACGCGTTGTTGAATAGGGAGATCATCGAAGATATTTATGAATGTCAAATATACAACAGTGATTTACCTTGAAAAATTACTGTAATTCTGTAATTTTAGTGTAATTGTATTACTGAAATTATATATAACTGGTGCCTGCGCTGCCAGTAAAGTACTGTTAGAATTTACAGAAGAAAAATTAATATGTATTCATTTAACTGAATGAAAGGACAGATTGAAAGAAATCACTTACATTATGCAGATCAGTCGTCATGCATTTTCGCAACACACAAGACACGCCACAAGATGATTTCAAATTTCAGAGTTTCGAAGGTCATTAATGTTAAAAGTGGACTGGAAATTTTTATATTAAAGAATACAGCGATTTTGACTCTTTATTTTGAATAAAAGTGAGATATAACTGTATGCAGAGTAAGTTGAAATGTAAATTTTCTAAAAGCAAACAAAAGGCGCTAATATTTACGAACAGCAAGCTGTTTCTATTACGATTACAGAAAAATACGTAGGCCTACGTTCACTTGCATTTTTTGCATTTATTGAACGTGACAGACGAATAATTTCGAGGGGCTGTCAAAGAGACAGCCAGTTTCTTTCATTTACCCGACTTAATTAACCGTAGTAGTCATTTCCTAATGGCTGGCATTTGACTCCCCTTCCACGCTGTTGACTATATGCAGCGAAGTGTGACTTCGTTACAACGGGAGGGTAGTCTCCGTTTGATTGATGCCTTCCTGTTGTTTACGCTGTAATGCATTGTTCACAGGCAATCATCAGTAATCAAATACTAAACAGCAGTCACCCCGTATTCTAAGTTCAGTTCATTTGACATAATTGAACTCCTTCATCGCATATTCACAAATTAACGTTGCTGCTTTGAAATCAAACAAATTATATTTTATGGATGGCATTTGAGAAAAAAACCGAAGTTCACGATTTCTATTCATATAATCTTATCATGCATAAATTTCACAATATACACATTACCTCAACAATAGGAACAAATGGCTTTATAGATATCAAAATAATAAAGCATAATAAGAACTCGAATAAAGATATGAACAATCTGGTCCATCTAATGCTTGGCATGCAACGCAAGCTCATATCAAAACAGCAAGTTCTTCCTTGGATAAACAACGCGTTCTGAGGGTAGAAACGAAGCATTACAAAGAAAACATTTTGCCTGTGTGGAAAGCATCTATATTTTCCGATGTGAATCAGTCCTCTGCGGGTGGATTGATTGTGCATACTTGTTTTGCACAAACATATTACTCAAGTATGAGATGGAATGCACACAAATAAACAGACCCATTAATATAAATCATCATAATTCGGCGCCAAATGTTGAAGTTAATGGGCTGTAGCGGTTTCATTTTCATACGGAAAAGGGTACAGTGTGAATTATTTTGAGCTCCATAAGACCATACAGGCTGACAGAATATGTTGTTAAACGTAATTTAAGCAAGGCTGTGTCCCCTTTCGCTTGATTTGTCATTTTGCAATTGGATTTTCTAGCTTTATGGAGCTTTGCTCGTGACAAGGACAAATAAAAGTCGTCTAAACAAAATTACTAATATCCGACTTGTTACTCATTGCGCTTTCCCTTATGTAAACTGAAAATACAGCCAGACACGCAAATTACATCACGCAATAAATTGCTCTACACTCTTAACATTTTACTTATATCATATTCTTACAGAACCCTTTCCGATAAAAAGTATGGACTACATCTGCTTGTAACAGCTCTCCACATGTTTTGAAGAACAGAAACACAGCCAGGAAATTACTGTTTGTAGGTTTTATATTTGGGTTGCGAAATCATAATAATTGCTTTAATTAAACCCTAACGGGCACAATCTGCTAGCTGCCGAATCACTAATAAATTGCAATCTGCCAATCAATTAAAACAAAGTTAAAACTGCGACTCTAGTCTCTTTGTTAGACAAAAACAAACTGGCATTGCTCAGAAATACAAAATTTAGCTGAATATTAACATAACGCCTGGGTACCGTATATTAAAGAGTTGGTACAAAATAACACACAAGTTATCGTCCGATGACAACTGCCCCTTGCGCCTGCGATAAAGACGTTATTGAAAAAGGGAAATGGAATAGGTGGAAACAAAAGAAATCGTCTTTCAGGAGTTCAATACACCTTAAACTGAAGCAGCAATTAATTTTTCTTAGACCCGTTTTTTCTGCAGCTTTATACTTTTCTTCGGTGTATGAAAATTAGTTGACATCCCTACTCGGTTAAATGCCTTGAAAAGTGTTAAATTCTCAAAACATTATAAACTGCATATAGCTTTCCTTAACAATTGAGTGCGCTGTTGCTGGGATGTCATCTGGGGAAGACACGTTTTATTGCATTGGTTTTTATGCTCAAAGTGTGAAGCCAAAATTAACTCATTTAAAACATTTCAGAGAAAGGGTTGCGTGCTTGCTTAAATTGAGGCCTGAAAAATCTTTAAAATTCAGCCTTTTTTTGAGCACAAACCAATGCAATATTGAGATTCTCTTCCTGGGATGACATTGCAGTTTTGCTTATGAATATGGAAATTTCAATACCATAAAAACAAAAAAGCAGCAAAACACAGACAGGTGCATTTTGGACGTTTATATTTTTGAAAATTGCAGTGCGGCTACATTATTCAGCTACCTAATTGCTATTTATGCGTAACATAAAACGTGCTTGTTATAATTAAGGCGCTCTGGAAATACATCATTCGTTCTAAGAGTCGCCTTTTGTAAATCAGATGTTTCATCGGAAAGCATGGGCTCCTCGCATTTCTTGCTACTGAGGATAAAGAAAGTAAAGATACACACAAACGAGAAAAAGGATAAGGTTTTTTCAGTCGGTGTTATCAAATTACTTGCGACATAAATTAAATGAAATAATAACTTCCAGAATGTCGTCAACCACTGAATATTGTTCAGTGTGTAAAAGTCATAGCAGAAATGTTATATTACAATGGGCTTCGCAACAAATGAAAAAGAGATTGGCAGCTCCTGCCTGTTTTCTTAGGTCAATTTCTTCAAGAGCCGTTTCTCTTACATGTAAGCTTTTCTCCTTCCTCTTGTGACCTTTTGCCGGTTTCAATTCCAAGGCTGCCACTGCTTGTGATGGCCTTAACAGACGAAATAACGAAATTTATCCGAAATGGGAGTCAACCGGGCGAGAGCTCTCCGCACGTTCCCCCCCCCCCAAATAAGCAGTAAAACGAATTGGTCATCTTAATGACCCGGCAACAATTCTTGCACGTAAATGAAAACAAAACCATGTTCCAAGGACTTGCCGTTTTGTTTTCCTTTCCCGTTGTGACCGTTAAAAATTGATTGCACTGAGGTCTGTACGACGGTATGCCAATTAACTCTAGTTTTTACACATGTTACAACAGCGATATAAGCATTTAGATGAACCTTGTGTTTTCATAGGGCAAAAACCATGAATTATACGTTTCGTGTGGGCCTAGTTTATAGCTCTTGTACTTTGGGCAGACGGGGACCTACTAAGTGTTGTTTTACTTTGAAGTTCCAATCGTACTGTTACCCAACCATGTTGCACTTTCTCTCTGTGGATGGAAATCAATTTTTGCTCGGGGAAAATCGACATGTTTTTGTTCACTGCGTTGTTGATCACATCGTGGCAGGTTTGTGATTGATTGTAGTGCATATTCAGGCACCACCACTAATTGCCTTTTGCAGAACCGGGAAAAGCACTTTTTCATTCACAAAACGTACCACTCTCTGCAACTTTTTGATGAGCGCTTAAAGACATTTTGTCCAGCCATCAAGAACTATTATGTGAGATTACAGAGTAAGACTTTGAAGCGAAAACGTTTCACAGCACCAAATTATAAATTTGGTCAAATCTGTATGTTTTGACATATGTATCCACCAATTTGGTAATTAATGGAACCATTTTGTCTTATTTAGAGTAGATTTATTGCCTTTCAGATTTGTGACTGGAGTTCCACGGTTGTGTCAAAGACATGAACATTGTTTCTTCCTTTGCAACTTATGTCAAACAATGCATAACAAAATACATCTCAACTTCTGTTATTTTTCTACGATATGACCGAACGATAAAATAGCTCTTGGGCTTTAAAAGCCATTTAACGATGACATTTACGCAGGTTTCCTTTGGATTACTTTATAAAAACCACTCTCACAAATTATACCGAAATACAAATGTTGATCTGAATTGGGGATTTCACAGCTTTTCTTAAGTCGTGCATTTCGATTTTACTTATCTGATTAGAACGATCTAATTATTTTAAAATATTGGTACTTGCTCTTGTAAATGAACGACAAAGGAAATAATGGAAGTTGGCATTTTGAAGCTACAGAATGAAATATCTAACAAATACTTCAAGTTCTATGTTAACCAATTAAAAAATGTGTTTTATTCTTATTCTAATTCGGTGCTAAAATGGAGCGCTCAAAATAATGAACGTTTGCCTGCCTTTTGGCTGAAAAGCGCATGGAAGACATGAGGAAATGAAGGACGACTTCTGGCATTAGCGTTTCCGAAGCGAATAAACTAAAATGGAGACGGAAATGATTTATAAGGACTTACCGAGGTGTCGAGTTCTATCATTGTCAGGTTGAAATCGCTGAGGACATTGGGATCTGCGTTGACATGTTCCAGGGCGAGTCTTGCTGATTGAAGACAGTCTCGACCTATGCTTGCCATGGATTGGTTCACGTACGTCGGGAAGAGACCTAACAGATAAAGATTTTCCTTTCTTTCACAGGCTGTTCCTTGCACAACTACAAATACCAGTAATAGTCTCATCACACTTTTTACAGCGAATTCCCGCCGGTAATCACCCATAGTGTCCAGATTTAAGCATTCGACATGTACGGTGTTGAAAGCCCAAAGCCAAACAGCTGGCGGCCTATGAAGACTGTAGAACAAGACGAAGGTGGGGCTGCCTGTCCAAACTGTTGAACTCGTTCCAGGCACAAGAGTTTCGAGAGTGAACTGACGTGATTAAATGAATTCCGTGTACTCAGTGTTCGTCAGCTACTGTACTAGCACATGCAGGGTTGGAATGCTTGTCGGAATATGGACACTGCTACATCACTGCATGGGGAGAGAGACGCTTCCTGGCAAAAACCACGCCTTATCCAGTCCAACTAGAAGAAATCAAGGCCCGACTGTCGGACGGGGACTGCAGCATGCTACACTGTGTGAGTGTTGTAGGTGATACTGACTCCCGGACCGGCTGGCGAGGTCTGCTAATCGAATCTGCAACAGAACAAGAACGATCACCGCATCAGTGATGAGGTTGGACATTGGCCCGCCCACCATGTGAGTCCTTATTGGTTGCCTGCTTTTAGCCATTAATTTCTAATCCACGTGCAGAGAGGTTTTATGGAAGTGTATTTCGGACACGTTGAAAAAATAATAATAATTTGCACGTACGGATTACTAGTTCGCACACACAAGTTACTGTATAGTATGTAGGGTTTAGTGAATAAATAATCACAGGCAATAGCTGCATTCACAATATCGCCTGGAACAGAAGCACCCCTTCATCGGTTGAAAAGAGCAATACCGGTGGGGAGGGTTCGTTTTTGTTGATAGCTACGTATACGCAACGAATGCATCTTACAGTCTTTCGTGAAGTAGCATTCCCACCAAAGGAGCCACCATTGCAAGGAAAATCGAACCTCTCTTTGTTCTGCTTGCAGACCAATGAACTAAAGTATAGTTACGCACTGCAACATATACAGATTTAATAATCTGTACGTATCCGTACGTATAGTGAAGTAATCCGTATGTTCCGTTTAGTAATCATACAGTTTTGTAATCAGTTTGAACGAAATAGTAAACTGTATGTACGAATCATTACTATTTTCTTACAGTGTCCTAAATACATTTGCATAGTTTTTATGCACAAAAATAATTAGTGAGTATTTTAGAGGTAGAATTTTCTGTCACCAATTAAACTAGTCCCCACTCAAACTCAGTTCGAAATTTTGGTTGTCCCTATGTCTTACTGCAACAGTGAATCAATCGCTCTGTTTTTTATCGGTGCAAAAGACTGACCGATGAGCAATTCGTTTGGTGGAAGTGCTATAGGGAGACTTCATAATTGGCTATACGGACAAAATTGACAAAAACCATAAGTGACCCTGGTCGCTTTAACCTAATGCGGTCCCACAAAAATAAGATTCATACACAAATTTACGCTTATAATACCCGATGAAATTTGTATCACTTTCCAATGTTTGTATCCGATAAATGTGATGGTACATGTATAAGTTAAATGCACGCTTGATTACTAGGACCAGGTTTGTCTCCGATGTATCGTCCGCTCCGAGCAGAACAAAAGAGGGCGTTTCTTTTTTTACTCACCGCAAAGGCGCCATGAGGCGCCCAAGCATGTGCGCGTTTGACGCAAAGGACGCTGAGTACGCGTAACTTATTTATTCCGGCATGTATTTTCTTTGCGAACACGCGAACGCGCAAGAACCCGCTTGTAATCACCTGTCTTTCTTTCGCTGATTGGGGTGCACTACAGCTCGGGGCGGATTACTCCAAATGTAACTTTCCTGTCGTCACTTTATCTTGGCAAGGATGGATGCCCTTGGTCATCTACATTTCTTTTTTGTTCGCTACAATTCATCGATATTTCTGCACACAGCAACATTGGCTGCAACGAGTCGGGTTGAGTAAAATAATTACCCTGTATTTTCGTCGATTATCCCGGGCAGATTTGGGACCATTGAATTTAAAACATGGAAAATACCACTAGCAATCATTATAATTACAAGGTTTATGATAAATTTATCAGTGTTAAAATCTCAGAATAGGTTAACAGGGTGCACCGGTAATGTGTTATGGTGGCCCTGCAACAGCATTGCAACATGTTTCAGCGTGACAATACAACGCATCTTAAACGTACAGTTACAGGAAGAAATTTGAGTACGATTAACTGACTGACAGGCAAGTTTGGTGAAACCGGTCATTTGTTTTGTCCATGTTCTGGACCATGCTAAAGGCATGCTGATGTGTCCGACAAATAATAATCAGTGCCTCCTCCTTTGTTGATGGATGTTAGTGCCACACTGCTAATGTTAAAAATGTTATTAATAGGATTAAATCTTCATCCCTGTGGGTTTCCATAGCATGCAGTGTTTTCTCTCGATTTAAGGTATTTTTGAACTTCATTTTTATGCAATGCAATTTCAACCTGAACTGCATCCTTATGTCCTTAAATGTGCACTTTCTGTCCTTATAGGTTCTTGCGAAACGTTCCGCTTTGCATTGCTTGTACCAATATATATTGTACGGTCAAAGGACATAACTGGTTAAGATACCGTTCAAACCGTGGTCTATTAACGTATCTGAGACATGTCCGATCATGATGAGACCTTGAATCTTTCACAATTATACAATTATGTGCTATAATTTTAGGTTTGAATAGACGCTACAAAATATCATCTTCCAATTATGTTACACACGAACGGCGAACGTTCACTTTACAATAGCACGGTAATACTTTATCGACACATGTTCAGCCATATTAATTTTGTTTGGAAAGCCATGTGAGCCATTCTATTAAATTGTCCCTGTTGCATCTAGTGTACGATTGCATAAATTAAAAAAACATTCTTTAATATCCATGACTGATTAAGTAATGCAAATCTACTGTCGAACAAATAAAAAAAATGATTTATGGTCAATTTCAATGACAATAATCTGTTAAATTACACAGGTCAAATCTAACACGGACAGATAAATTTCACACGTTGTAGTTTCGTAAAAGTGATCGACTTCAGACTTGGCAAACCTTCAGACAATCATCCAAGAACGATCCTAGAACAAATTCGTCATGATGACGTCATCACGTGATTTATTTTTGAATTTTGAATATTTAATAGTTTACCAAAGGGTTTGTACACGTTTTTCGACAGCACACTATCATCGTGCTTAACGCGTAAGCAGTCTTCAACATTGACCGATAATGACTACCAGAACGAAAGAGAAATCTGACTAGATTTTGTATACTTTTTTACTACACAATACTGTTAATTTTGATGTGTGGGTATTCCCAAATTTAGGCTGAAGATTACTATGAGAAGGAAAGAGAAATTGCATGTTTACGCTTTGTTATTTTATTTGAAATATGCCCAAAAGTCAGAATATCAAGTAATATTTCACTATATTAAGTCCCCCAACTAGAGGAGATCCAAGAACAACGTTGTCATAATGACGTCACGTGGTGTCAGGTGACATGACTTTAAAGGAGCAAACTTCACAGCCTTTTAGGTCCAATTAGGTTCAAGCCTTGCATTTATCGTGAAATGGATAAGCTTTAGGCGAATAATGACCTGATGTGATGATGACGACAATATGTGACAAGTCACATGAAATTAAAGGTCTCTTCAAAGCACTATATCTCGTGGTATGCATGTCCGATTGGTTTTAAACTTTGAGAATAGCTGGAAAGAGAAGGGTTTAAGACTGAAATTGGCCTGATCTGATGTTGATATCATCAGAAGACAAATCACGTGATATTAAAGGAAAACTCTTCAAAGGACTCTATCTTCTGAATTGCATGTCCAATTGGTTTCAAACATTGCTGAGATCTTGAATGGAAGTGATTAAGACGGATATTGATCTGATGTGATGACGCCATAATGCAGGTCACGTGGTATTAAACGTGCAATGTACAAAGCAATATATCTCCTCAATTGCATTTCGTATTGTGTTCAAACTTTGCTGGTATCTTTAAAGGAAAGTGACTTAGGCCAATATTGACCTCATGTGAAGGTGACATCATCAGGTGAAAAATCATAATAGAAGTACATTCTTTAGAGCCCTACATCTTGTGATGTACATGTCCGATTGGGTTCAAATTTGGTAGGTAGCGAGAAATCGAAGAGTTACAGAGAGAGGAAATGATATTAAAGGTGCACACTTTATTCTCCATATTTGCTAATGTCCTGAAGGCTTAGCACATTTTGTCATTATGACGTCACCAAAGAAAATATTACAATTATTTTTTGTAAATATTTGTAGCTCTGGGATAAATCTTTGAGTAAAATGCTAGTATCTCAAACGAACAAATTTTTTTTTAATAAAAAGGAAAATAGGAAAAAGCTCTTTGCTCTGTCCTTAAGACAGGAAAAACCTCTAGTTTTTTCTTCCGTTTTCTTTCTCTTCTGACCAACAGCCCATTTCTTTTGTGCACGTTTCTTCCTTCATCGACTTTGGTCCTTTTGCAACTTCGGATCTTCATCAAACTTACATCAAAGAAGCACCCTAGTTCAAAGATATACATAGAACAATGACGTAATTATGACGTCATCAAGTGGTTTTTATTGAATTTTTGATATTTATTTCAGCCCATGAGCTTTGTACACGTTTTTCAAGGTCCAATTTTGGTAGTTTGGCAATCTTCAGTCGTCCTCAAAATTACAAGAGATACTTCAACACAAATACAACGCAAATGTTTAAAATATTTAATCTGTGCTTTTTTTCCGCATTAACCATAATTTTTGTATTGTAATTTGTAAATGTGTGATTGGGTTGAAACCTTGCAGATAGTTAGGACGGGAGTGTTTATTAATGGAGACTGACCTCATATGATGAAAATGTCAGCAGTAAACGGGTGCAAAGCGCATTCTTTATGTACTTTACGTCGTGAAGTACATGTCCGACTGGTTTGAACTTTAGAAAGGGAAATGTTACACACGATGTGATGATGACGTCATCAGATGATCATGTCACATGACATTAAAGGTGCACTCTTCCACCCGTTATTTCTCTTGAAGTTCTGGCCGCTTTGGTTGAGACCTTGCTGATATCTTGGAAAGGAAGTGATTTAGGCAAATATTGACCTCATATGATAATGACGTCATCAAATGACAAGTCACGTGGCATTAATGGTGCAAATTTTAAAACTTCATATCTCCTGAAGTGTATGTCCAAGTGGGTTCAAACTTTCCAGATATCTTGAAAGGGAATTGATTTAGACAGCTATTGACCTCATGTGATGATGACCTCATTAAACGACAAGTCACATGACATTTAAGTTGCACTATTTAAAACTCTATATTTATTGAAGTACAAATCCCATCGATATGAAACGTTGCAGATAACAAGCAAAGGAAGTGTTCCAGATGAAAGTGTACCTGATGTGACGATGACGTCATCAGGTGACAAGTCACGTGACATTAAGGTGAACTCCTCAAAGCCCTATATGCTCTGGTATTC